ATATGTTATATAATATATATATATATATAACAAGTGTCTTTTATTCCTTTTTTTATTATGTGCATTTGTTAATATATAAATCTATATTTGCATGTGAAAAGTCACCATCCTTCTTAACTTTATTGCATTATTCATTAATAAAAGCAAGTAGTGGTGGGCAATGCAGGGAAGCTATCGTATTAGCTGCTGCCAGTGGATTGAGATTTCATTAATTAAATTGAATAAATAAACTACTTGTACACAAAAGTCGAATGACAAAGGCTGGCAAGTGGAACTGTCTTTTGTAGCTATGAATATAGATTCTTGTTTTATTTATTTTATTTATTTTCTAGCACTTTAAATTATAGCATTTTATCTTTCTTCCCTTTAATTTTGTTGTATTTTATTTCAGTCCTTTTTATTATTTTCAACATTTTTTTTGTATTTGCATTTAAGCATATTAATCTACACTTCATTTTATTTTAATCATTATTTTTTTTACGATTATTCATTTTAGTCTCATTTTAGTTTTGGATTTGGCTATCTTTATTTTCTTGTATTTTAATCATTGTTATTTTATATTTATGCAATTATATCTTTATTCTTTTAAGTCTTTGAACTCGATACTTTAGACATTGACATTTTTTATCCCCAAACTTCGATTAGATTTTTAATATTGACATAATTAAATATTAAATAGAGCCTCCAATTTAGGTTAGATTTCAAACTAGTCTTTAATTTAGGGATAATTTGAATTGGCCCTCGCGTAAACGCTCGAGGGACCATCTCGGTTATTCGATTCAATAATTTATTAAAATCAAATAGGATTAATATTAGAGCCTACGTTTTTAGATTTAAGCCCTTAGATTCTTTAATTTTCATAATTGTCACCGTAAGTTAGAAAAGGTAGCATAATTAGGACAAATAAATTTTTCTTGATCGCGTTGTTTTTATAAATCTAAGGCACTGTTCACTTATTAAGGAATTAATAGTATATCTCCCGCGATCGCGCTCAGGGGGTGACTACTGGTAATTTCCTAAATAAGTCGACATCTTTTTCAGAACCACATCATGTTTTAAAAAAAACGAGACAATGTTCGGTTATTAGACACAATAACTGATCTCCCGGATTTACGCTCGGGGGAGAATGTTATCGGTCTCAATAAACGAATATCCTTTTCAAACTTCGCATCCTTAATGATTTTTAAATTAAATAAAGATCGAACTCAAAATTTCAGATTTTAAATATAGGGTAATCAACTAGGTACCAATTTTTGGGCGCTTGTGGGGGTGCTAATCCTTCCCCACGCGTAACTGACTCCGAACTTGATTTTTGGATTTTTCGCAGACCTAAAGCTCGGTATTTTATTAAAATAAAATGTTTTATTAAAATCACCCAGTTTTTATGGTGTTCCAATCTCACCTTAAATGATTGGTGGCAACTCCTCACAATTTCGAAACGATTCTCAAAGAGAAAACCCCCAAGTCATATCGGTCTTTCCCCCCCGGGCGAAAAACGGTGTCGACAACTTGCTTGATTAATCAACTGCTAGTAAGGTTTTAAACACCAAGGTTTGTTTTTTAGATCAATATCCTACTTTTAAACCTATGTCTTCTACTCTTCCTTTACGAGTGTTTGGGTGTACAATTTTTGTTCACAACAATAGTTTTTCTGGTCTAAGTTAGATCCACGATCTATTCGATGTATCTTTTTGGGATATTCTTCACTAAAAAAGGGCTACAAGTCTTACTCACCTTTAACTCATAAAACATACATTTCTATGGTTATAACATTTTTTGAATGGGAACCATATTTTAAGGAGAATGTAATCCAGGAGGAGTCATTAGATGTATTTCAACCTTTCAACCTTTGAGCATGATCAGCCTCTTTTTAGTTATAGTCATATCTTCCTATCTCACCATCAGCACCTTTAAACACTTTGTCAGTACCTACGCCAGAAATTCAAACAACTTTTATTCCTACAAATGGTGTAGGAAATTCAAACAACTTTTATTCCTACAAATCCATCTTCTGTCATGTCTCTCAAATGCCCTTCATCTCCTCCACTAGCTTCTCAAAATACTCACCATCTACCAAGACTCTAAGTGTCTATAAAGAAGGAACAAACCTATTTTAGAGGCTATTTTATAGTCTGATATTTGTCGAGAAATGACATCGAGTCCATTGCTTCAAAAAATGTAGAAGGTTATGGAGGTAATGAATCTTCTCAAGCTCCTATAAATGGTTTAAATTATGATGAGTTACCTATTGCTAAGAGGAAGGGTGTAAGAGAGTGTTCTAAGCATCCTATTCAAAGATGTTGCTTATAAAAATTTGATGCCATCTTTTAAAGCTTTTACAGCCAACTTAGATAAGGTGCAGCTCCCAACAACCATTGAAGAGGCTTTACAATATCCTAAATGGAAGAAGGTTGTCGAAGAAGAAATTGGAACACTAGAGAAGAATGACATGTGGGTCTTGACCGATTTACCACAAGGAAAGAAGCCCGTAGAGTGCAAATGGGCGTTTATTGTTAAATATAACTCGGATGGTAGCGTTGAAAGGTACAAAGTTAGACTTGTGGCTAAAGGTTTTACTCAAACCTATGGAAGCGACTACAAGGAGACTTTTGCACTGGTAGCTAAGCTTAGTACAGGGAGAGTTCTACTCAGCTTGGCTGTTAAAGATTGGGATCTTCATCAATTGGATATAAAAATGCCTTTTTGAATGGGTGCTTAGAAGAATATGTGTACATGAAGGCTACTCTAGGTTTGAAGATAGTTTCACAAGGTATATAAACTGAGAAAATCTCTCTATGACCTAAAGCGATCTCCAAGGGCTTGGTTCGAAAGATTTTTTATGTGATTGTGAGAGATGGTTATAAGAAATGCCAGGCAGATCATATGTTGTTCATTAAAATTGCACCTTTTTTATAAGAACATGATGCCTCTTTAAAAACCCTTTTATAACCGACACAGTGGAAAGAGGAAAAGAGTGGCTCAATTTTATTGCAACATTTACAGTATATCAATCGTATAATCCAAACTGTTACAACCAAAGAAAACACCCAGAACCTAACATCTATTACCAAGCCTAACAACACAATTGAATTAGCCAATTCCTAACTTAGTTAGCTCATCCGCCTCCCAATTTGCGCTCATAATTGCCTCACAATAACATTCCGTTCCAACACTAAGGCACCTATGTCCTTTACCAAAGACTCGAATAACGGAGTGCAGGATCCCAGATTATTAATCCATTCGAAAGCAACAGAGCAGTCCGATTCTAAAATGAGTCTTCCCCTAGTTCCATAGTCTGACTCCACAAATAATAACATACCCCTCTTGATAGCTAACAATTCTGCAAGAATAGGTGGACCAGGGCCTACACTTTCTGAAAAAGAGTACAACACCACACCCTCACCATCTCTAAGTAAACTGCCAATACCTCCTCTCAACCACCTCTTGTCCATAGCCTCATCCACATTTACTTTGAAGAAGCCCGATGGAGGAGGGACCCACCGCACCGATGATTTTATGGGCCTCTTAGGTCTCATAGTAGAATCTGCTAAAGTCGGGTCCCCCACTAGAATGTCAAAAGGAATCGACAAGTCTGGATATCTAGCTACGAACCACGCAACCAGCATGTATCTTATAAGAAAAAATAAGAGAGTAGGATCTAAGTTCCCCTTCTAAAAAATAATCACATTCCTACACTTCCACACCGACCACAAAAGCGCCCCTGGGATAAAAGTCCAAATGATCGAGCGCGGAACTGGATCTGTCCAAGCAGAGATCAAAGTTGCAGGGCTCTCAGGAACATCAAAAGAGATATTCCATAAGCACATAAACCTACCCTAGAAACCCCATGCCACTTCATAATGCACAAATAAGTAGGAGGCAGACTCTGGAAACCTGCCACACAAAGGATAAAGGGGGTCTACCACCCCTATGATTCCAAGCTTTATTAACTCCTCTTTAACTGCTAACTTCTGATGAACAACCTGCCAAATAAATGATTCCACACGAGGAGGGGCAACTCCTAACCAAACATACCTTGACCAAAAAGGATTCACTTCAGATATCTCGTAATATAGCCTCAAACAGGATTTTACCAAAATGCAGCCTTCCCCATTCCCAGTCCAAATCCAGCAGTCTTCCACTAAGGACGACGATATAAAATTGCACACAACAAATTAAGGTCAAGCCATTGTTCCAGCTCCCAATCGGCAAGGTTTCTTCTCATTTGTATGTCCCAAAACCAGCTCGAAGAATTTATTTTTCTTAAATCAACAAAGGGTTATTTTAATTGATTGCATTTCTACTCTCCTAATCAACAAAGGGTTATTTTGTGTACGTTGATGACATTATGGTTGTTGATGATAATGTTAGTGAAATTGACAGGTTGAAAGGGCTTCTAAGCAGTGAATTTGAAATAAAATCAAAGACTTGAGAAAATTGAAATATTTCCTAGGTGCAAGCCTGCTGAAACCCCAATGAAAACAAGCTTGAAGAATGATATTGGTATGAAGGATGAAGAAGAGATGGTGAAATAATGAAAAGAAATAGGTAGAAGAGAGGAAACAAGTTTGTTTGATGAAAAAGAAAATGAGGAAATTGAGGATGAATTAAACAACTATATTAGAAGTGCTGATAGTTTCCCTCTGCTATCCTTCCATTTATGGATGAACTAAATTTGAAAGATTTTAAATGAAAGGGAAGTCCTTCCTACTTCTATTTTTCACCTAAAGAATGAAGGTAAATGCATTCTCATGCCTTTCCATTTATTCATTTTTTGTTACAACTTCCCCAATTGCACGTTGCCTAGAACAATTCAAACCAAAAGTTGTTAACTTAATGCAAAACTCACCTTTGTAATCAAGCACATAAAGAATGATAAGAGTATACCAACTTAGTTATATTCTCATAAGTAGATGTATTAAACCAAAAAATCTAATTTTTTTCATTATATTTGAGATATATTTCACAACTCAACAGTAAAATTAAGAATCCAAAGCTACCTCCAGGGGTTAAAGGTTTGTCAGTCACATTGCCTTAAGAGGGTTTACTCGAATAATAAGGATTAGCATGAGGAAATATTTTTTTGATAGGAATTTAAGGCCTCGTTAAAAACCCCTTCATGATTTAAGGAACTCATATTGAATTCCTTAATCAGAGGAAGGAGGAAAAGAGTGCCTTAAACTTTATTAATAAAGATGCATAAGATTTACAATATCAAGATAAAACCCTTACAAACAACCTAATAACCCAAAATAAAATACCCCAACAACAAAGTAAAATTAACCAATACCAGACTTAGCCAACTCATCAGCCTCAATATTGGCTGTCCTAGCCACCCATCTAATAACTCATCAGCCAACTCATTAGCATGAGGCAATTGGCAACGGAAAACCTTAACACTTGAGAAAAAATACATAATTAGCAAGAGAAAGCACATTGAAAATACTACTAACATGGAAATGGGGAAAAAAGCAAGAGCGTGACAGATATTAGTTAATATACCTCCTTGATTGCTTATCCGGATGACGCTTCCATTGTTCATGTTGATCTCGGAGAAGACATTTCATGGACAGACACATGAATACAAATAATTTTCGATGAAATGTTGAGTCTTTTTCAACTAATGGAGCATAAACCTAGGAATTCAACCAATGTGAGAATTAGCACAATCAGCTTACTTCTGCCCCTTACCTCTCAATCATGTGATTAACTCAAATCAAAGAGCAAAACTCCCGAGTAAATGAGTAAAAATATAAGTATCAAATAGTTTCAGCATTTCAAATTCAAGTAACGAATCAAGCAGAGTGACTCAGAAGGGTAATAAAGCACTCGTATTTTTCTAATACAACAAATATATAAAACAAAATACTACATTTATTGGAATTGATTCGGGTTTAAAGTATAACTCAATCAGAAATACATTACAAAAAAACCACAAAAAAGGTACCTGTAGTAGAAATTGTAAAGGTTATCCACATATATCACAAACACAAGACATTCTTGAAGGTAAATTATCTGGGTCCAACCAAGCCTACAAAGAAAACGATATCATACAAATTACAAAAATGTACATGTTTTTACTATTCAAGTAGCTAAGCAAAAAAATGTTTACTGGGTGAGGCCAACAAGTGGTTGATCAAGTAGGGTGAGGCACTAGATCTCTTAAATAAGGTCAGAGGTTCGAACCATAACGTTTGTGAATGGAGCAAATTAGATCTGAATTAGTTAATAGATCGAATACCAGTGATTAATTCAAAAAAAATGTAAAATGAGTAACATTTTCAATTATAACCTAAAATGTTAACTCTCAAATTAAGTTTTAATTAATTTACAAACTTATCTAATCATTTTAAGTTGAAACAAGAAATATTATTAGAATCCATGATATTTTAGGTGGCTCATGTTAATATTTTATGTTGCAATCTAATATTACCCAAAATCATAACAAAGTATATAAAATGAGTAACATTTCAGGTAGCAACCTGAAATGTTAACCCACAAATTAAATTTACATCAGTTCACAAACTCAAATAACATTTTATGTTGCAGTCGTGATTGTTATTGAAATATATAACACTTCAGGTTGATGTCAATAAAATTTTAAATTATAACTTAAAATGTAAGACGAAATCATAATAAATTAGGTAAAGGGGATAACAATTCCTGTTGAAACTTAAAATATTAGTTTCAATAAATTCAAATAAGACTCTAAATTACAACTGAAAATATTATTATAATATATTAGGTTGCATTAATAATATTTTAAATTAATACTTTATTCATAGGATGAGATTACAATACACGTCGTATAGCGTAACATATCATTAAAGTGACGTACTGAAATATATTACTAACTAAATTGTCTTTATTAAGTAAATATTGAATGTATAAATTATACGTTTAGGACTCACACTATCATTTTATTTCGTTTTAGTACTTAAATTTTTTTTTTTCAAAATCATTAACGATAATGTGATTGACATGACATGTCAATTTGTCTTTATTTTTTAATTTTTCACATCATTTTTTATTTCTCTGTATTTTTTAATTAATTTTATTCAACCAATTAAATAGTGATACACTTCACCAATTATGAGAAAAAAATAAAAGAAACTATTCTTACTCTTAGCATGAATTAAACCCAGGCTTCTTATATGAAATGTAAGGCAATCAACCATTGAATTAAGCTAACCATTTATATTAATTTTATCATTTTGTATTTAACTTATATAATAATATCACCACAAAATTAATATTTTCAAACTTAATATTTACTTGTATCATTATTAAATTAAAGAATAGATTTTCACTTTATTTAAAAATAAAAAATAATTAAATAATTACTTTTATGTATTTATAAAATTTATATTAAATTATTCTAAAAAGTTTATTTATAATATTATGAAAATATTTATTTTTTAAAATCATATTATATATTTATTTGAAATATTATTATTTTTAAATTATCTATTTAAATTTGAATAATATTGTATGAACCAAAGTAATAGTTGGATAGTAAATGTATAATTTACCCTAAATTTAAATTATCTAAAATTAAATAGATAATTTAAAAATAATATTATTTTAAATAATTAATTAATTGAATTTTAAAAATAAATAAATATTTTTATAATATTATAAATATACCTTTTATAATTATTTCATTTAATTTTTATAAAATATATGAATTTTTTTAATTATTTTTTTAATTTCTAAATAAAGTGAAAAATAACTTTTAATTTAGTAATAATATAAGTAAGTATTAAGTTCAGTATAATAAAAAAATACACTATAGTTGAGTGACTAAGCTTTACATGATTAATTTAAAGTGTCTCGAATTTGAATCTTATAATTATAAAAATATTGATTTTATGGTGATATTGTTATATAAATTAAATTTAAAATGTGTGAAATTTACCCAAATAACTAACTAGTCTAGCTCAATGGTTGAGTGATTTGTTTCTTATGTAAGATACTCAAGATTGATTCATACTAAAAGTAAAAAATGATGTAGTAATTAAAAGCAAAAAAATATATATTATACCACATAAATATTACGTCAATAATTTTAAAAATTAAAATACTAAAATTAAATAAAAATGATACTTTAAGTATAAAATTTTAATATTTATTTAATAAAGATAATATGCTTTAGTGATACGTTGCCTGATTCAAATTTTCGTTTGACCAATAATCAATCAAACTGGGCACATTATTTTTTAGTCTTATTTTAATTATTGGATGGGAGAATAGAGATGTTTATTTTTCGGTTTTAACCGAATTAACTGATCGAACCGAATTAATTCGGTTAATTAGATTGGTCATCGAATTAGTTCGGTCGAAAAATAATTAATAATTTTTTTATAATTCGGTTAACGGTTAATTAAGTTCAAAATCGGTTAATAACTGAATTAACCAGATTAACCGAAATTAATTTTTAAATATTAAATATATTATGTATAACATATAGACTCAACCTAAATCAATTAAAACCCAATTAATAATTTAAGATCCAATAACTTTTAAATCTAAATCAATATTAATTAATTATAAAATATAGATATTATTTAAATTAATTGTAAACTGTTTTTTTAATTAAAAAATATTCAATTTTAATTAAAAAAATTCAATTGTTATATAAATTAGAAAATTTTAAAAATTTCGATTAGTTCAAAAATTGATCGAATTAACTGAAATTTATTCGGTTTGATTTAATAATTTTCTAATAAATTTCAGTTCGATTAACGGTTAAAAAAATCGATTAATTCGGTTATGATTACCGAATTAACGGATTCAACACTTCTAGGGAGAATCACTAGGCTCATGCTCTGCCTCTAACTACCCGAGTATACGAGACAAAAGAAGCCATTTAATGGAAAAATAAATAAATAAAAAGGCCGTTGTCGTCTAAGAAGCAACCCGGAAAAGATGAAGAGAAAAGCCAAAGTAAATCCGACAGTTTGGACCAACAAAGACTCATCAAGTTCAAACCAAGAGAAGAAGAAAGAAAAGCTTCTATTCTTCTCTCAAAATTGAAAGCCCTTGAGCTTCAATGGGAGATCCATCGGCTTTCTCTATGATGCTTGACTCCTTAGGTGATGCTTTTCGGCTTTCCCAAATTGTCAACCTTATTCACTTTTCTTTTATGTTTTTTTAATTTCTTAAATCTTCAAATTCTTTAGGTAAAATCTAGAATTTAACTGAGAAAGTCATATTCTTGTTTTTGGAAGTTGGAAACATATCAATGATGCTTCTACTTCTTACTTCTGCTGTTCTCAGGATCTTTAATGCAATGTCTGTTAGCAGGATCTATGCCGTGCCGATGGCATTCAGGGTTCATTGGAGATCATACAGCTCGAAAATAGACCTGAAGAAGCTTAGGCCAATGATACTCGAGAGAATTGAGAATCGAGCCAAGGATTATCCAGTGCCTGGAATGATTCCAGCGGCTGAAGAGGTTCTCAAGGCCAGAGAACTGCTTTTCCAAGGAGTCTTCACCCTTCTCAAACGACTCCCCATAGTTGCTTGCAAGTAGGACCCACTGCCCCTCATTTAATCTATATATTGAAATACACCTTAATCTGATTTTGCCTCGTTTATAAATGGTACGAAGTAAGCTTTCATTCATGCTAGACCTAACTGCTATAGCATATGCAAACCAAGACTTTTGGGTAGGCTGACAAAGTGATAAATTTGTCTGGACATTTCAGTAATTGTTGATGACTCCAAAAATAATTCGTTAGAATTACACTTTTAATGTTCTGTGGAAAGACTAAAGGTGTAAATAACTATGTTGTTTGGAGTTGAGTGTGACTGCCGAATATGTCTTCTGGTCTGATTTTCCTTAATTTTTCATGTATTTTGGAGGTATCTTTAGAGGTCATATATTCATATCCATTGTAGTACACAAGTGCTAAACTGGGTATTTCTACAAAAACTAAAGATATTAGCATTGAGATAAAACTTTTTTTGGGTTAATTATTCAGTATTTTTATAATTTATTTTACATTAGATAAGTGTTAAAGTATTTTAACATTAAAAACAAGAAAACATCAAACTGTCCATCAGTTCAATTGGTTGATCCGGTTGTACCAGTAACCAAAGTGCTGACCAGTTTGACTTCTAGTCCTTTCTTTTTTAAACATTTGAGAAAATCCCTCTAATTTTACTGCGTTACTCTATTCTCTAACCTATGTTCATTATTAATTTTTAAAAAACCATTTATTGATATAAATGTTTGCAGGTTTTGTCCAAAGGTATACATTGGTGAGAAAGGTCATTTAATCCAGACTTGTCACGGATATAGGCGCATTGGAAAGAATCGGGTTCATGAATGGGTCCATGGTGGCTTGAATGACATGCTTGTCCCTGTAGAAGCTTTTCATCTGCACAACATGTTTCAGGGTGCTATCAAACACCAGCAAAGATTCAATTTCGAACGTGTTCCCGCAATCGTGGAGCTTTGCATGGAAGCAGGAGCAGATGTAACACATGAAATCTTGAGATCTGGTTCATTAACCACCGAATAAAAATCTTGTGGCGGAATCAGTGGAATTGAGTCTTTTTCCGATGATGATATAAGGGTGGTAGCAAATGGCACCTTCAAGGCATGGGAGACACTTAGATCCGGTGTTAAGAAGCTGCTTATGGTCTATCCCGCAAAAGTTTGCAAACATTGTTCCGAAGTTCACATTGGGCCATCTGGTCATCAAGCCCTTCTTTGTGGAGTATTTAGATATGAGAGTTGGCGTGGCTCCCATTATTGGATGAAGGCCAAGGTTAATGAAGTGGTCCCTCCAAAGATGGTGTGGCGGCGACGGCCTCAGTATCCAAAAGTGCTTTTGAACGAAGATCGGGATTACTACGGGCATGCACCAGCGGTGGTCGATCTGTGTTCAAAAGCAGATGCTATTGTTCCAAGTAAGTATCAATGTATGATGAAAGTGAATGGCTTACCTGGACCTATTACTAGATTGTAACCTTAATATTGCAAGCAAAACCTCAAGTCTGAGGTTGTGCTAGGCCTCATCATTTATACAATTTCCTGCAATAATG